CCAGTTTGTCTGACACACTTTCTTTTCATTGTTCCTGCTGGAGGGAATGGATTGTCCTGGTTAATATCTCCAGATACACAAATCACAGTATGCAAGTTACCAGCTCTTAATGTCTCCACAGTGATTTACACATGAACCACAGACAGCAATAATATTGAATATACAGTATCTGCATTACTGGTCATTCATTTTGCACTTTTGTAAAGATGAGTTTGTTTCTTCATGAGAACATTTCTCTTTATCTATGTGTGCCGGTATCAGCGTTTAGTATGAGCAATGTCACAAGTCTAGTAATGGGCGAAAAACTGCCATCCAAATTAGTTTTTCATCTGAACAGATTTGGAGAAATTTAGCATTGCATCACTTGCTCAGCAATGGATCCTCTGTAGTGACTGGGTGCCGTCAGAACGAGAGTCCAATTTTTAGTTAAAAACGTCTTGATTTCAGAACGCAGATTTCGGTGCCTCATTTCGGTGCCATGCCTGAGCGATCAATTTAAATATTTGTCCTCTGGTTCTCCGAAACGGACGAAAGCATCATCACCGGCACCGCACGTGAAAAATAATTTCCTGCCTGACAAAATGCACGTGAACGCAAGTCGGAAAGCTCTAATAATACAAATCTTCCCTTGTATTCACATTTCTAAACCTGTTGTCCAACAAAAGAGAACATTATAAACTTTTTACTCCACAACACCAGTCAAATGCTTCCTTCTGTGATCTGATGAGGCTTCTTGTCACAGAATGAGGCAGAAAAGATGTTCCATATGCGACTTTAAAAATAATACATCAATTAGCAATAGATTATAAATTAGGGTGACCATATGTCCTCTTTTGCCTGGACATGTACTCTTTTTGAACCTACAAAAATGCGTCCTGCCGGGATTTCTTAATTGGAAAACTAAAATATGGTCACCCTATTATAAATATATTTAATTATTATGAAAATACCAGAGATGGCTTAAATAACACAGATAAACTCTATTGTCGCAGTCGAGTGTTTATTGTCTGTGTTTTATCATTCAAAATGTTTATATGTTCTGTTTACTCAGTTACAGATATAATAGCATGCCTTTGTCCATATAAGGGATTTCCTGGAGGGTCATGAGTTCTCTGCTTCTGTGGATGTGGATTTTCTGTGCGAGGGCGCCCTCTGGCGTCCAGTATGAATGAAACAGACATCATGTGTTTATAGTGCTAATGGCCAATCCATCATTTTTGGGGGGAATTTTTATTTATTTATTTTTTTTTTTAATAAGTATCGGTTCAGGCACCGTTTAGGCACCGGAACCGCTTTAAAAGTATTGATTTGGCACCGGTATCGAAAAAAAAAAAAACGATACCCAAACCTAGTGTGGATTACTGTTTTTATCAGCTGTTTGGACTCTCATTCTGACGGCACCCATTCACTGCAGAGGATCCATTGCTGAGCAAGTGATGCAATACTACATTTCTCCAAATCTGATGAAGAAACACATTTTCAGCTCCTTTAGATTTTTGGGTGAACTATTCCTTTAAAGAGATTTCATCATTTATATAAGATAATCATATGCATTCAGTTGCATTGAGATGCAAATGTAAAGATATGCACGTCATTGTTGAATGGCACATTTTACCTTGTGTTTTAGCATGTTCATATATGTTTAGTGAACAGTGTCATGAATCTGTGCTCATAAATGATGTATATTGCATCCTAGAGGAGCAATGACTCTTTCGCTATCTTCGCCAAAGCATAAAATCCGGTCATCGGTAACGCAAGCATCCTCCTGCGCTGGGATTTGAGTCTGATTCTGAGTCATACAGCCTTCAGTGTTTGTTTGCTGGACTGTTTGGAGCTGTGGCTTTTACACGTCTTTGCGTGTGTCGTGCTCGTGCTGTGTTGAGTTCTCCGTTGCGTTCGCTGTCAGGCTCTCTCTGTGAAGTTCAGCAGTAGGAGTCGTTCTCCCAGCGCTCACCTGATCCCTTTGAAGCCTCGCTGCTTTCATGCCACGCCGAGTGTCACTTGGTTGGCATGCAGCTCCTTGAGTTATGGATGCGGTTTTTCATAGATCAGCATTATAGCCGTAGAATGCACCAGCACTTACAGATGCCATGATGTTGTATTTCTCTCTACACCTTCTGCACTTTATAGCATTTTTATTTCTCCCTGAAGTCTACTTATCATGTAAGTCAAAGATTCTTGCAGCAAAATATCCATTGTTTAGTTTTTCATGACCATATAATGCAATCTCTGATTTTGCTGCTGTACCTTTAAGACTTCTGTATATAAATGACCTCTGAAAGAGAAAGTCATTTCAGAGAGCAAGTTATTACATTTTGATGAAAGATGATGAAAAGCAGTCTTTTATATAATTTGGAGTAGCTTGCACTTTCTGTGCATGACTTTATGTGCATTTACATATTTACTTACATATTTGTCTGTTTTTGACCATTTTATGCCATCTCTGATTTTGTTACTGTACCTTTAAGACTTCTGAATATACACAACCTCTGTTGTGATTGGTTAACCTCTGCTTACCTAATTTATTCATCAGGTCACTGACTATGTATTGATATGTAAATATGGGTCAGCGTATGTTAATGAGCTCATGGTTGTGATGTCATATTCATGACAAGGGATTCTCTGAACTCTATAGCGCAACTACCAGTGTTATTTAAGTATTT